TGTTGTCTAAATTAAGCCCATGTTTAGAAGAACCAGAACTGGTGGTATTACATGAAACTTTGACCCCTTTCTCATAATTTTCCTCTCATGGACCTTTTAGTCAACTTGTTCCTTTTGAAACAGAAACCAGAAAAGAGGAAAAAAAGAAAAACACATCCACACCTTAAAACATGACAATATGGACACCCACACAAGCTGCCTGAAAAMGGCACAATGGTGAAAGTTATATTATGAAGAAAACCTGTTTATAAAACAACTTTGACACCTTGTCCTCAATACATTAATTCATGAGCCCTTCTTCAACTCTTCTTCCACCATCAGGGCAGATGGAGGCTGTCTGAGAGGCCATAAGGTCTCCCTGACCTTGAAGAACTGCCAGCCCTATTACAAATTCTTTGAGCTTGTCAGGAGGGAGACATAAAGACTCRTTAACCTTTATTAAATGACTATTAATTTAATTGATAAACACTTGAGGAAGGATTTACCTGTCTGCTGGGTAACAAACTGAACATCAGTACTGAAACCATTTGAATAAATCCAAACAGAAACACTAAGAAACCAAATCAAAAGGGCATAAACTACTTTTTTTTTTTTTAATCAAAAGGGCATAAACTACTTTTTTTTTTCCCCTAGTCCCTGCTGCTTTTTAAATAGACTGCAACAGATCAGGCTGGACCAAACCAACTCTGGTGCTCTGTGGGGGGAGGAATGACAGGTGGTCAAAAGGATGAATGAGAGCCGCTAGGCCGAAAAGAAAAACAGGCCACTCAGCTGAGGGGGGACGGGAGAAAAAAAAAAGCTGAAAGCAGAGAGGCAGAGCAATACTAACAAGAAATAAAATGAATATTTATCACCTTAAGGCAAACCTGGCTTTGGTCCAGAGAAAAGAAAACTGGCATAAATTCTCCTGAGAAAACAGCACTAAACAGGTACGGTAACATTATTCTGACCGGAAAGGTGAAAAGGACATCTGGGTTTATTAGCTCAAAATCCAAATTAGTAAAGAATATTCTCCTCTAACGTGTTCATCAACCCAAGCCAACATTTGTAACAAACTAAAGGGGGGGTTCAAACTCTGTTTTAAAACTAAAATTAGAAATAAAACTATCATTGGTATCCTGCTGGTTTGTTACATGCCTCCCTGAGCTTGTAGCGCTGCACCTTACCTCGTGCATGGCCTTCTGGTTTACCACATCACACTTCCTTCCCCCTAAACCTTTTTTACCTTTTACTAACTGGTAAACACTGACATCACACCACATCAGAGAAACACTTCTACATTACCCTTTACCTTACCAATCAAAAAAAAAAAAAAAAAAAAAAATCAGACCAAAAGCGTTACACGATAACACTCTGAGCTACGAAAACTATACGTCAATAAAGCAAAAATGTTTTCTAGTTCAAAACTGATCAATAGGTTAAAATGGATCTTATTACACAGTAATAATTGATCAACCTAAAAAAAAGTATGTTTTCTTTCCCCTTTTGCTCTAATAAACTAAAACCACAAACTCATGATTAAAATAATCATTACACAAAAGCCAAAAGGTGCCAACATTACAGGAAGTCCAACACATGATTCTACAACAGTTTCTAATTAAAACCCATTTCAAAACGTCTGGAACTATCCCTTTAAGAGACTCATGCAAAAAAAAAAAAAAAAAACAGAGTAGACTGCAGAGACCTGTTAAAGCCTAAACCTCCCAAAGTCCAAACCTTAGATTTTTCTCCTAATTAAAACTTGTAGTTTTAGTTTTGTTATTCAGACTCTGAACCCTTGTGTGTTGGCAGTTTTTGTTTCAAATCACCTTAAAATAATGAGTAAAATCTGTCAACATATCCTTAAACTCTAACATATTCAGAAAAGTTGCACATTTTTACAATAAGTTATATCTACTTTCACCAACTGATTTGCTAAGCTGTTTATTACATAAGGCTTAATGATTAATAAAATCAGCCAGAGGTTCAACACTATCACAGTTAAAAGTCCCCAGTGTATGTTGTCAACATGGCCAGGTGGCCCACTTTGCATACTGTGTGTGTGTGTGTGTCTCCTTGTCACAGAGGTTAAACACACTTGCATAAAAGAAAACAAATGTTCGATCTGCAGCTAAAATCAACACTATCACAGTTAAAAGTCCCCAGTGTATGTTGTCAACATGGCCAGGTGGCCCACTTTGCATACTGTGTGTGTGTGTGTGTGTCCTTGTCACAGAGGTTAAACACACTTGCATAAAAGAAAACAAATGTTCGATCTGCAGCTAAAATAAACAGGAAACTATTTAAATATAAAATGTGACCCTGATCAGAGAAACCTGAGTAAGTTCTTTAAACTGAAACATGGCTGCTGACTCTATTATGAAGCCACTTCCTGACAAAGAGAAAAGGCATTTCCAGGGAGCCAATCCTCAGAGTCAGCAGGGCAAACAGGAAACAGAACTCTGACCCATCTGTGTGTCATATGACACACACGCACACGCGCACACACACACACACGGTTTGAAACCCTCTGTTGCACAAACAAAAGTCACTAAAACCAGTTGGGAAAGTGGGGCAGAGATCTGGGTTTGGTTACGCCATCTGTTTGAGCTCGCTGAGCTGCAGCAAAGGCTCCATGACGGAGCAGGAGAAGAAGAAAGGTGAAGGAGTGCTGCGAGGACGAGCCGATTCAAGCTGAGACATGTTGATAAATGTGTGTTTCAGTCAGCAGAGCGAGTGTATCCACAGCAGACAGATAAGAGAGCGGGCTTACAGGGAAACTCTACGTCCAGTCGGACACTTCACACACAGAGCTCCCACCGTGCAGAGGCTTAAAGTCCTGCTTTTGTGTGTCAGCACTCCGGACGAGTTGCTCYGCAAAATTACAGGGACAGAATCGTTTRSACTTTTTTGTAGCTGAACTTTGAGCTAAATTTACATCAAATGCTGCACAACAGCAACATCATCCACTCCTGACTCCACTCTTCATCATCGGCTATACAAAGGCTGTAACTACAGCCAGAAAATAAATATTTCTCTGGCACGTTTTACAGCTCTTTTGTTTGGCTCTTGTGTTGCTATTTTTGGTAACTTTTTTTTCTGGAGCAAAACTGTGCTGCAAAGAACTCCCCCCCAGAACCAAAATTTGCAGCCACAAAAAATACATTTTCTGAATTTCAGCATCAACTGAATCTCTTTTTGCTCCAGCAATTCAAGCAGGAGTTTAGCTTATTATTTTAAAAAGGTGTTCTAATTGACGTAACACTGATCATCTAACACAGCARTTGAATCAAACCATAGCCTTCAGATTGGACTAGGGCTGTGTATTGGCAAGAATTTGGCGATATGATACATATCATGACAGACGGGTGACGATACGATATATCCCGATATATTGCGATACTGGAAGCAAGGCGATTTATTGCAATTTTTTTTTTGGTCCAAAAATTCTATTAAATAAAAACCTCTTCCTGGAAAAAAAAAATGAAAAACCAAAATTCATTGTCTCAGAAAATTCTATTACATTGACCTGTGCTAGCCTTCTGTAACGTGAAGGTTGACTAAAGTTGAAAAAAAGAGCGCACGAGACACTTAATTTGGTTTAAAATAGAAACATTCTGACAAATAAGTATCTGTTGGTAACCTTGCCTCAGCTTAAAAGGCAGAGGGTGTCGGTCTTTTCTGCTCAGATTCAGCTATCGGAGCATGAAGCTAATGTTTACTCACAATGCTA